TCCATCTCCAGCACTGAAGGAAGAAAAAAGTGGTGGTGGAGGGGAGGTCTCTACACTACACAACATATTACTTGCCATTGCTAAGCTTGTTCTGCAAGGGCAGACGGACATTTACACGGGACCAATTTGTGGAACTGTGCTTATGTTTACACAGGAGTAAGGGTTGTGATAGGACTTTAGGAACTGAAGCCATTGGACCTTCTACTTGCATATGAGAGGAACACCAGCAGCACGTTGGAGTTAAAGCCAGTATGCACAGAATTAATCATATTCCAATGAAAGGAAAGGGATTCCATTTCTATACCAGATGCTGTTCTGATAGCAAGAATCAAGTCTGGATCAGACACAAAATATGTCTACACACAGCAAGGATAGCCAGCTTGGGGCTTGCATTGACTCTTTTTTGGCCATAATCATATTACCTGCTCCTGCCCACCTATTTTGGTGGAAAACATCTTTTAATGTACTATTTCAGATATAAATCTTGCCAAGGAAAATGGATCCTGACTTGGAATTTTGCACCAAGAGGAGACCACAGCTTTTTACAGATGGGAAGAGGAATTCTAATTCCCTCTGGAAGCCTGCATCCCCTCTTGGTTTCATGATCTAGAGTCATTGCCAGTCTAGGTAGAAGCCCTTATGCAGGATGACAGAGGACACACACTACCCTCTCCCTTGTCACACATATGGCCAGGTTCTTTTCAGTACTGGGGATTGAACCCAGGCTCTTGCGCCTGCTAGGCAGTGGTCTAACACTGAGCTACATCCCAGCCCCACATATTTCTACTTGATCAAGGAACTAGACCCTAGAAGTGACCCCCATATTCTTTTCTATACAAACCTGGCAACTGTCACCATTTCGCCACTACTGTCCACTGCAAAGCCCGTTTTCTCTCATTGTTGATATTCTTGTCCTAGCTGGAAACACAGAAAACCACCTACAGGTGACCCAGTCATCAGGAATAAAGCAAAGTTCTGAGTGGGCAGAAGTAGTCTGCTGAGGCAAGTAGGGTACATGGCTTTATATTATTATCTGCCAAATGTTTCTTAGATGAAAGATAAAACACTTAATGGGCACTGAAGGCTAAATTGCATTACCCTTTCATTTCCATCCCTATGATTGATGTTGAGAGGCAGTACTGGTGACCTGGTCAGTAAGATGTTGCTCCATCTACGGGCTTTGGGTTCCGCCCTCTCTAGGTATAAACCAAGTTGTCACTTTAGCAGAATAGTCACCCACCCTATGAGCCGTGCATTACCTAATCACCCAGGTGCTCACCTCCACCCAGTCCTCAGCCATTGCAGGAGATGAGGGGGGCACACTAAGGGTGCCCTCCATCTTCCTCAGCCTCATGATCACAGGAAAGCAATTGCTTAGTCAAAATCTATCCTTCAGGTAAATGGAGACTTTGTGTGTGAAATGACGAGTCTGGAACTTTTTGTAGGATGCTGAGATAGATTTTTAAAAGGAAAAACTCAAGTCTTTGCAGTGACTGTTGAACTGGAAATGGGGTTATCAGGCCACCATTTTGTGAAAATTAAATCGGCACAAATAGATGTGGAGCAGGGCAAACCTCATACCATCCGGGGCTTCCTGTGAAAATCATTTTAACTACCCTTGACCTCTACCACTGTTGTTGGCTTTCGTTTTTCAGTCAATGTACACTTTATCCCCATCTATATAGAATAGAAGAAAAATGTTCAAGGTGTAGTTTCTTGCTCAATAGTGGGATTAAGCTGGGCATTTAGTGAAACATTTGAGTCGTCCCACAAATTTATAATCTCAGGGTGAAAGCCATATGGAGCTTGAAGCATCAAGTTCTGTGGATCACAAGTTGAGGCAAAGTTCCACCTCTAAGTTTGCCGCTTTCTGTCATTACCACTTCCTCTTTGTATTCTCACAGAAGTTCTTTTGTTTCTTGTAGCATGTTTTGCAATTTATACGGTTCTACCAAATAGCATGTTGCAAACACAAAAGTATGTGTATCAGAAGTCTCTGTATCTTGAAATTGGAATGTGGGTGTGATTCATGAGTTTTGCATCAATTATTAAACAGTTGGAGATGAAGATAGGCAGAGATGGATGGGCAGTAAAGTATTCCAGGTACACCTACCAGCTTAGGGCGGTGATAAATGAGTTGGGAAACATGAAAGTTCAAAGCAGGTTTTAACTCGAGCTGCAACAGCGTACGCTCTGAAGGGAGGTAGACTACAGCTTGATATAAACCACCTCAGAGACAAACCAACTGGCTGGGAGGAGTCAAATAAACCTAAGGACTTTGTAAGAGGAATAAGGATTTTCAGAGCCCTTCTGTGCCAATCACCCTTTACCTTGCAGGATTCTTGAGGGAGACAGAGCTGTGGAGAAGGACACCATTTGGGAAACAAATGGGATGTGTCTTATTGTCTGGGACTATGTCTAACATTCCTAATACAAAGTTCTAATAATACAAGGAATCCTTCCTTGTTTTGACCCATGTGAGCCTTAAGTTGAGAAAGTGAAGATATTTTCAGGATGTGGGCAGAAGGACAAGTACGGTTGTCCTTGGGAAAGCAAGTTGTATTTCCCTAAGTATTGTATTCCTTGCCAATGGATCCAAGGGCTCACACTGGAGAAAGCAACTTCACTCTTTTGATACCCAGCTTCATAAAAAAAAAAAAAAAAAAAAAAAAAAGGTTCACTGTTGTCCCAGTGCTAGGGCCCTGCACCCCACCTGGACCTCCAGAGCTCTGTGTTAACATTGCTGCCCTGTGGAAGGCATAAATTACCTAAGCAGAGCCTTATGACTGAGCCCAAAGACACTAGCGTGTCTAACCCCAGGGCTGGTCTCCCTGCCGTCCTCTCATCACTCCTGCTACTCTGTCTGGGAAATGTTAGTGTTTGAGCAGTCTGAGGTCCTTGACTCTTTCCCTGATACTTGACAGAAGCCCCAAAGTGAAAAGAAACAACCACACCACCTTAGGTTCTACCCAGGTCAGGAAGCTCTATGCCTGACCTTGGCTACTCACTGCAAAGCTGGGAGCCGTCACTCATGTTCGAAGTGTACCCAGCACTTAGTGCTTTGCAGTCCTGACATTCCAAGGCAACTGCAGACATTAAACAGCTGCTTTCTTCCCTCTAAACACAAGAGTAGTGGGCTAAGATGCACAAGTTAAAACAAAGGAACGTGTTCAGCACTTCCCCTGAAGGGGCCAGTTTCCCAGGCATGACAGACTGCATTACTCCTCAGCTCAGAGCACTTGTTATATAAACCACCCTTGTGAAGTTATACCAAGAGATTGCCAGCCATGTAACTTATTTTGTGTCTTCTTACACTTGACTCATGGAGGGATCTTTCTGAGAAAATAGTCCATTTCCAGTGTAGGTCCTCATTAAGAATGGAGCAGCCTTTTCTGAATGAAGACACTGAGGGCCAGAAGTCTCAAACTGGTGACCCACAAACCACATGCACTTCACAGACAAGATTTTCTTTTATTTTCATGATGCTTATAAAAAGAGTTGTCAACATATAAAATTTAAGAGATTTTTATGTAAAATTCTAGATATACAGCTTCTTAAAAAAAAAAAAAAAAAACGAGAACATTGGCCAACCCATGCAGTATTTCATGGCCCCAAATGAATTAAGCCAGGGGCCACTTATCCCTTAGAGGGGGCCACAGCCTTTTTAGTTTACCTGGATCACTTCATCCATGCTATTTTGCGAACCTATAGGGTTTAAATTTGCTACCTGTGAGGTCAGTCATCTAGGAGGTCAAAACAAGATATTGTGAATTGTTGGTTCCATGCCTAGTTTGCAACGGACTGAGCTTTTGCCTTATTATTTTTATTTTTATACAAAGAATGTCTATTAGGAGCATTTCCATATATGGAAAAAGACAGCTACTCTATGTAAAAGGGGGCAGTTTTACATTATTTACCTGAATAAATCAGGCATACAAATAAAATCCTGAAATGAGGATATAGAAGGAAGACTGGAAATTGGTATTATTCAGGGGTGATTGCCTTTGTTTTCCACCTCACGGTTTCCCCTTTACTTTCCTTACATGCATGTTATCTTTAGAATGTTCCTCAGTCAAAGGCCATGGTCACAATTCCCCTGCCTTTTTTTTTTCTTTTTTCTTTTTTAATAACTCATTTGCACCCTTGGTAACAATTGTTGGAGCCCTGCAGGGGAATAATTGTGGGGGAATTAACCTCTGACATTTTTCTAAAAATAGCCCTAATAAATCCAATCATAGGTAATTTACCTGTCCTTGTTCCTCCCGGGGTAACCAGCATTGAAGAAAGATCTGGCAGGCTGGCATTCCTTCAGCAATTATCTGTGATCTGAGTTCCTGGCGCCTATGCTTTTTCTCTGTTTAGAAATATGTACTGATTGCCCTTTCCCCTCTGACCCGGTGACCTTGTTTGCTCAGCACCCTTCTTCTGGGTTGGAATGAGGCCATGCTGGTCCAGTAGGATGTGCTGGGCTCCCATGGAGAGGCAGGGCGCAGATCAAGCTGAGGCATTTTTGGTCTCCCTCCCTCCCAGAGATCTCTGAGCTCTCCTCCTCCACTCCTGGCGCCAGAGCTTCCAGCATCCTAGCTCTGCAGCGTCTCAGTCCTCAGCCCTAATTCAAATCCCCGTAATTGAAACCAGTTTGGGGAAGTTTCTTGGTGTAGAAAACGAGGTGGGGGAGCCCTGAGTGGGTGACAGGGCTGTGGCTAGCAGAAATGCCCAGAGTCACAAAGAAATTAATTTCTCTTTCCCAAAACAAAAGGGTCCGAATAGGCTCTTCCCTTTTGTTCCAAGAGACCACAGTGCGGTGTGGCCATCAAGAAAATTTACCTTCCCAAGTGCCACTTCTGGTGGCACTTAAAATACAGTACAGAAAATCCTTGTAAATTCTGCTGCAGAGAAAAAGCCCTAAGCCTTTAAATGCACAGAAAAGTATGTCTATTATCTATCCTTTCCAAGTAAGTGTGCAGTTACTTAAATTGCCTTTGTCTTCTTCTTTTCAGCTGACATTATCTCTACGGTAGAATTCAACCACACGGGAGAATTACTAGCGACAGGGGACAAGGGGGGTCGGGTTGTAATATTTCAACGAGAGCAGGAGGTAAGTGGCGGTGAATACAAAATGCCCATTTTCTTCTCTTTCTAAAGGAGGCTTCCTGCTGTTGCTTAATCCTCATGTGTCACCCTTTACCTTTGCTGCTTTGCTCATAAACTTAAAACTGCCACAAGGTCATTAGCATCAGCAGTTCCACTCACACTCACAAAACCACCTTTAAAAGGTGCTTTTCCAGCAGGGGGCGGGGGGGGCCTTATCATTCCTCATTCAGAGACCCTTCCTTTCCATCCAAACTACAAAATTCCACGGATGCTTTTGGAGCACAACTCCTCTTTTTGTATTGGGGTTTGTTCTGAAGTTATTGAAATCTAGTCTTCCTTGATTTAAGGAAGTTGCCAGAAGAATATGAAAGAGGAAAAATAAAAGGTTTTGGTGTTTTTTGATTATTGCCAATAATTACAAATGGAACAAGTTGGGTCTGTAGAGAAGAAAATGACAGCTCAGCCTACCCAAGAAAGTGAAGTCCCCCAAAGTGACGTCTCAGTATGACATACATGTTAGTGGAGGTGATGTGAGGGTTCCTGGGCTGAGTGCTGTATGCAGCACTATTTCTGAGCAAGAGTTCTAACTTCTAGTAAATCTCAAAAAGCCCATTTCTTCTTGAGACTTGGGTTCCACTAGGAATTGTTTCTCTTTTTCATATAAATTGAGTTTTTGGGTGTCTGCTTCTATTTTGTCAGAATGGAATTATGGCCCAATTTGATTTCCTTGTCCTCCCCTGGCACAATCTTGGAGCTTCCAGCAGGCTAGTCTGTGTTCTAGTAACTCTCCCATCTGCCACTGCCTGCCTCTGAGATTCATCAGGCACTCTGGAAGCGTGAAGGAGGCCCCATATAAGAGAAAGGCTTCACCAGAGACTTCCTTAGCAATTTAATGCCTATTTTGTGCCTCAAAGCCATTTGCATTACACCTCCCCTCAAAAAAGGAAAGCCTCATTTAGAGGTGATATATTTGGTAATTGCACATTATTTGCAATTAATTTCTATAAGGGCATCGTAATCCCTCGGGGTTCTATATAAATTCAAGTGCTCAGCATTAAATCAGGCACCCAGCCTATTGCACTGGCCCTGGAAACATGAAAATGTGGTTGGCAAGTAGGAACTAATAGCTCTTCGTGACCTGGAATTTTTCCTGCTTTTCCAGAGCTGCCTGGTGCTAATTGGTCTGGCACATACTATACACACTTGACAGTCTGATTTGGATGGTAGCAAATCAACACTCTTATAAATTTGTTGTTAAGGTGGACTGGCTGTCTGTGCAAGTAAACAGGAGAGTAGCAAGTATGTCAGCATTGAAAGTCTTTTGAAAAGTGATTTTCAAATCTTCTCCAATTTAAAAAAAAAAAAATCCAATTAGGTTCACAGTGATGATAAAGAGGAACCAGAGGAGCTATTCAGCATAAATTACCCAAGGCAGCATGTTGCCAGTAATATTCCACCCCACATTTTCCGTTACTATTTATAGGTTTCACCTATTTTAATTTACTGAAATATCTGGGAAGCCTGATTCATTAATAGAATGATGGGGGCCACATTCTAAAAAGCTAGGCTTTTTTTGTTCACTGGAAAATAAATGTTAATGAGGATAAAGAACATGCTGTTAAGTGTTTATCTTTGTAGGGAGCCTGGGATTAAAATGCATGCTAAACCTGACAGACAAAGCCATGTGACATTGGGGCAGGCCAGCTTTTGACTTTAGTGGGCAAGCTCTGCTAGTGGGTTTTCAGTGAGCACAGTCCATAGAAACGGCTCATCAGAAAACCCCATGCCCACAAATGGATTTCACACCAGAGCTCAGCATCATTGCCCATCAGTAGGTTGAACAGGCTTTGGATGTTCTGTATCTACCTAGGAACATAAATGTTTATTAATAGTCATGCTTTTATAACAAATATTTAAGAAGACTTGAATTTTTGAACAGTTTTCCAAAGCCTAAATCTCTTAGCTCTTGGTAATGGTCCTAAAGTACCTGAAGTAAAACCTCCCGTCTCTCTTTCCTTTTCTTGTTAGCACTGTTTTCCCTCCTCTTCCCTTTTTTTCCTTTCTTTTGCCCCTTTCTGCAGACCCTTGCCCTGGGCCCCGTTCTCTCAGCATTTCTTTAGTTCCCGCTGTTCACCCTTTGCACAATCAGCACCAAGGGAAAGCCACAGGTAAAGTCTCATCATTCTCTTAATGATACAGATGGCCTCTCTGTGCTCCTGTTTTGTCACTCGTGTTGACAAAAAGTGGGGAGGGGTTCCTGATCCCCAAATCTGATCCCCCATAAGCTGAGAGATCATGGAGAAGTCATTTAATATACCTGAGCCTCATTTGTCCACGTCCCTGCCCCGCCTACTTCTCAGAGATTCTATGAGGATCAGGTGGGATTTTAAAAGGCCAATGGCCACTAAGCAAAAGACGGTGAAGAGAAGAAAAGAAAAAGCCTGTGAAGGTCACAGTTGCTACCACTTTGTTTTTATTTATTTATTTATTTTTTGAGACAGGGTTTTCACTAAGTTGCTTAGAACCTCTGTAAGTTGCTGAGGCTGGCTTTGAACTTTTGATCAATCCTCCTGCCTCAACCTCCTGAGCTGTTCCATGCACCACCAGGCCAGACCTTTGTTCTTTTTTAAGGAATTGATTACAAATATATGTGGACACCAGCATCAGATGGCTATTCCAAAGGGCATCTGAGGCATTCATTGGATGCATAAAAAAAAATTGTGAGAGCTTCTGTTTATGTTGATTTTAAATCTTGTCTTATATAACCTGTTTGTATATGCTGTTATGTATACCATATATTAGTGCAGAAGTTCATGTATATGGTTTATAAGAAAACAAATGCATGTTGGAGACACCAGTTGTTACCAAGAGGATGCATGATCAAACGCTTTGGAGGCTCCTAAGTAAGGGTAGAACATTACCTGTAATGGTCTCAGCTCATCCAGCTCTAACACCACCTCCCCCTCCTGCCCCTGATGACTCCACTCAAAGAAAAAAGGAATGGGCGAGTTTACAGTTGGTTTCCATGATTTAATCTTTTGTGTATTCTTTTTTTCCCTTTCTACAGAGTAAAAATCAGATTCATCGTAGGGGTGAATACAATGTTTACAGCACATTCCAGAGCCATGAACCCGAGTTCGATTACCTGAAGAGTTTAGAAATAGAAGAAAAAATCAACAAAATACGATGGCTTCCTCAGCAGAATGCAGCTTACTTTCTTCTGTCTACCAATGGTATGTGGAGGTGATTTTCCTGTTTGAGATTTTCAGAGATGTGGTCAGCCAGCAGTATATGTCAGTCTCTTTAGTCTCAATTTTCCTCTATACTTTGTGGTCTGGTGAACATAGAACCACGTTTACAAGATGCTTCACAGTGTACCAGGCACACACACAGTAGGCCCTCAATGCATAGTAGCCATTTTTTAAAATAAATATCAAATTTATGACTGAATTGTGTGGTACCCATTATCAGCAGTTTTCAACTAATGTAGATTATTTGCAGGTGTTTTTAGTATGTGACTTCCTGTCTTTAAGATTCACCAAATGTTACTCTGGGCACACATTTCAGGAAACTTGACATGTCTCTGTGAGTTTGGCATGCTGAATAGAAGTTATTAATCCCTAAATATATTTTAGGGTCTGTAAAGCAGATGGCTGTGTGTGTGTCTCTGACAAAATATCTAAGCTGGGAGCCCAAGTCAGGAGGAGTTAGGGAAACAGCAAAAGAATTGATCAAGAAAGGATTTCCTTTTCCATCTCCCTCCAGACTCCTGTACCATTTGTTGGTTTAGAAGGAGTTGATATAAATAGGTCAGAGAGAGAAAGTTGGTGTTTGAATAGAGAGCCAAAGTGCTCATTCACTGGATAAGTGGAGTTACTAGAGTTACCTCCCTCCAGGTTCTTAAACCTGTGCTGCAAAAAGCCATCTATGCCCAACACAATTTAAAATAAAGCCATATAGGAAAGGGTGCTGCTTTTTCAGCATGGCAAGAGGATTCGTATATGGAAATTAAACACCATTTCCCAGACAAATAAGTTGGAGACTGATTCCTTTCATTTGTGTGTGTTTATGAGGAGTACACACTTAAATGCAAATTAAGACGCAAGGGATTTGCTTTTTACCTACACACAGCATTTAAGAAGAAAGGAAACTGGTCATATCAAGTGGAAAAAAAAAATGCAGATGATATCTATAACACAATAAAGCATGTGTTATTTTAAAAGCCTGGAAAGAATCACATCAAAAAGCTCATCATGATTAATTTTTGATTGTGCATTATAGGTGACCTGTAAATTTGGTTTTTTTATCATTGTAGTTCACTTAACATTTTCATTGTCTAATTTTGTACAATGAGTCCTCTATTAATTTTATGCAAAAGAGAAAAGTTTTCTGTGCATATGAGCCCCCACATCCCTCTAATATAAAGTGTAAGAAAATGGCAGTTTTGAAACAGGCATTTTAGAGTTATCCAAGCACATCTCATCTCAACAGGACCAGATCTCTACTCATCTGTTTTTCCAGATTCCAAATAATTTAATTTTTTCTCATAACTATATTTATTGTTCTGTTTATATTTTGAAAACCTAATTTCTTCGAAACCAAACCACATGATTTTGTTTCAGTTTCTTCCCTTTGAATTTTGCTGTTCAATTTTCATCCAGAGGCTCTGCAGTTTCAACATGACTCAGAATAAAAGGGACTTCTGATAGTTTTGACCTAATTTCTTCCGGCAGAGGAAAAGTGTCTGATTATCTTCTATAGCTAGATTATGTTATATTATAAAATTTAGCCTATTGATTATTGCAATAAAATTCAAAGACTTATTAACTACTTTGGAGGGGGGTTGGGAAGGAAAGTGAAATGCAATGAAGATTAATTATATAGCATAATGTTCTGTTAATTGAGTTTTTAAATAGTTTTTTGATTAACAAGGATATTATCTTCCCATTTGGGATGTTATTTCATATGCCAACAGCATCTCAAAATGATTCTTATAAGAAAAATTCCCATGTTCTTTTGCAATTTTCTATTTTATACTAATATTGAAGTTGAGACTCCCCCCTAAGCCAAATAGGTTAACATGCAAAAATTAATGGAAGACAATTGGAATTACTGTACAAAAGAGAAAATGAAGATTAATGATAAGATTGTGTTTAAAGCTGCCACAAGTGATGATAAACTACTCAGAGAACCAGTCAGAAGAAAGAAAAAGCCATTACTCATAGAAACAGCCACATGTTCCTTAGACTTTTTTATCCACAAAGCTTCAAGATACTGAGTCAAGAAAAATGGTGTGATAATCAAGTCAAGGATGACTCCCGGCAATGCAACCCTGGGGAATTGGATCGAATCCTCCATCAATTATCTTTTTTTAAAATTGTGCTTATCTCATTATAGTTGGACCTAATTTTTACCTTCTGCTAAAGTGTTTTTCCAACCTCATAATTTTTAATGAAAAAATAAAACTAATATCCCATTGTGAATCTAGACCTTGAAATTATCTGTCATGTGAAAATATGTTGCTTGACCGAGCTTTCCACTTCTTTCTTGATGCCTCTGATGAGAAGGGAAGCGATCCTGAGTTTGTTTTTCATCAAAGTGATACATGTTCACTGTAAAAATTGAGGAAATACAGAGAAGCAAAATGAAGACCATAAAAGTGTCCCAATCCAGATAAATCTCCTATTAATGTCTTTTAAAGCAAGAGACCAAAGGCACAGATGAATTTGGGTGTTTTTTTTTTTAAACAGAAATGTGATATATTCTACAAACTTTTTAAATCATGTTTTTAATTTAATAACGTGGATCTTTTCCTAATTGTTAAATATTCTTCTAAATATCGCAACATTTTCAATGACTACATAGTATTCCTATGTATGATGCCTTGAGTATCCAACTATCGAATCTTTAGGGGTTAACAAATTCTCACTCCTATAAATTAATATTATATTATGTATATAATCGAATCCTATAAACCCTTATAGATGTTATAAATAAACATAATTAGGCAAAACACATTATAATCATATATAACCTGTTATATCTACTAAAAATAGTTATATAATTATATAAATAAATATAATGAATATACAGAAATTTTTCATATTATCTCTGTCTAGTAGAATCGAGAGATTTTTTTATACCTTTCTGCTCATTTTAATTTTCTAAATTACAAAAGACATCTGTACTAAAAAAAAAAATCTATATGTGCGAAATTATTATAGGTTTGTAACCTCCCCCCAGAAAAATCACATCAAGGAAACCCTGTAAGAATTTATGCAAAATTCTGATGACAAATTGTCCCTAATCAGAGGGATTATAAGCGATTTTTATTCTTTGTGTTTTACCTGTGATTTCACTCTTTCTTTGTACAGCAATTTATCATTCATGATAAAAACATAAGATAAAAATCGCCTTGCAAATGGGATGGGACACGTTTCAAAGCCAAGCAACAGAAAATATTTGGTGTTAAAAATCCACTGACTCTTGAGTTATTCTCAGCCACAGCTGATCAGGAACTAATCAAGTGACTATAAATACAGTCCATGTTTCATCTTCTTACCCTAAAAAGCAGTATCTTATGCAACAGCAATCCAGAGAGGGTGGGACCAGAGGGGTTGGCATGTAGATGGAAAGTTCTGCATTAAGCTCACAGCTGGAAAAGGCTTCTTCACCTTTTGCCCATTACCAACCAGGGTGAGTGCTTCGTTCAGAGCGCACAGATTGTAGCAGCCTTGCCAGTGACGCTCAGCTATGTGAAAACAGGGGCACTTATCTGTTCAAGTAGCCCCATTGCTGATGAAAGCCCATGATGTGGCACATTTAAGACCTCCAAGGACAAGGCATTTGTTTCTGATGGTTTAAAGAAGCAGTACTGTGAATTCACTTCCTGTCCTTGCAAGATCTGTCTTCCGAAAGATGCAGGAAATGGGAACTGTGGACCTGGATGCGGAGAAATGGAGGCAGAGATGAGGGTGCAAAAGAAAAAGGAAATCCCAGTAAGGCAGGGAAGGGGGATGGCTTCCCCCATGACAGTGGTACAGAGAGGGGGTATGAAGTACAGACATCACTGAGGGATGAGCCTAACGCTGTCAGGGCAGCATGTGGTTATTGCAAAATAGTTGACTAATTTGCTAATCCCAATAACAGCCACTTCTTGCAGATCATTATTAGCAAACCAGCACTGTGTTAAACACTCGCTTGCTATTATTCATTTAATCTCGGGAGCCCCTTGAGGGAGATACTGTTTCCCTTCATTTACAAATAAAGAAACTGAGGCACAGAGTAACTGTCTTCATTGGTTATGTTGAAATATGTGGCATATACTTACATGAAAAACATATTTATCTGAAACTCACATTTAACTGGATGACTCGGTATTTTTTCCCTGCCAAGTGTGGGGGTCTTATTTGTTTGTTGTTCCAGTACTACTAGTGCAGCCTATTGCACAGGAATCCTAGAACCTGGCCACATGGAGCTGGAGTAGGGATTAGGCCCAAGATTGTCAGATTCAAAAGCTTTCTCCATAAAGGCAAATACAAGTGTCTGCCTTCCAGGAGAGAGGTTAAAACAAGTACAAATAACAAACACAGGGTGTGATAAGGAAGGCGTGCAGAGGCATGTGGCCCCACAGACATGATTTGTTTAGCTCAATGTGTCTCCTTAAAGAACCAAAGGATTGGGGTGTGGCTCAGTGGTTGATCACTTGCCTCCCACGTGTAGGCCCTAGGTTTGATCCCCAGTGCTGCAAGGGGTGAAGGGAAGGGCCAAAAGAATGGAAAGCCTTCAGGTGTGGCACCCACCTCCAGCTCCCCAGGTCCCCTATCCTCTGTCACTCACTGCCTTGGCCTGTCTGCAGGTCTTGGAGTTCTCATCTTTGTCTTAATGCTGTGGAGATACACAGGAGTCACCAAGTAACATGATGTCCTGGGACAGTCAAAAGATGACAAAGTTCCAGCTGGAATTACAGGACTGGCAAGGGGACAGGAGCGTGATTCGGTGCATCTCCATACCATTTTACTCCCCTTAGTATTGCTAGACATATGCCATATGCAGAGGAGATGCATATGTTCATCCATCCAGAATTTATTATCTATTACGCCCTGACACTATTCTAGATGCTGGAAGGTTGGTGATAAACAAGATAGAAAAAATCCTTGCCTTCAACAATTTTATATTCTAGTGAAAAAACAGAAGAACCAACCAGCCAACTAGCCAATCGTCAGGTAGTGAAAAGTACTATAGGTTTAAAAAAAGAAAAAGAATAAGAGAAAGTATATGGAGAATGGCGATGAGGACAGCATTTCTATGAAGGTTTTATGTAAGGCTCTCTGACGTTGGAGCATGAACCAAAATAGCAGAGTGAAGGAACATGTGAAAAAGGCGGCAGAAGGTACAGTAAGCGCAAAGGCCCCAGGAAGGGGGTGGGCTTAATGTTTACAATGAAGAGCCAGGAAACCATGGGGCAGGAGCACAGCCAGGGAGGGGGAGAGGGTAGGGTGGACAGTAAGAAGGGTGAGGACGCAGAGATGGCCAGCTAGGAAGGGCCTTTCTGGATATGCCCTGTGTTCGAGTGAGTGTTCAGTGAGGCAGGATGCTAAAATAGAGGTATTAAGAGTACCTACGTCCCAAAGTTACTGCAAATATTAAACCAATTTTTTATCTAAAGTGCTAACATAGTCACATAATAAACTCTTATTATGCAATGTTGAATCAATATAATTTTTATTGAGTGAGCCAGATCAATACACAAGCTATAGAATTAACAGTACATTGTCAGTAAGAAAAATGAAACCATTTTTCCCAGTCTATGCTTTTGTGTGGGACCGTGAGATCTGCCTCCAAACATTGAGAGGTGTGCGCACTGCCGCCCTGTCCGTGAGCCAGTCTCTGCAGCCACTTTCCATCACTGTCTCTCCCCTGTCCCCACTATCCTCTCCCACCTGCCACCCCCAGAAAAGCTCTTGACACGCTCCTCCCCTTTCTTTCCCCTGTAATTCTGATGGCCTGGTTGTCCTCTGCAGATAAAACTGTGAAGCTGTGGAAAGTCAGTGAGCGCGACAAGAGGCCGGAAGGCTACAATCTGAAAGATGAGGAGGGCCGGCTCCGGGATCCTGCCACCATCACGACCCTGCGGGTGAGTGGGGCTGCTGCTCTGGCCACCAGGGTCATGGGGGGGACAGGGTCCTGGGGCTGGGCACATGCTGTCTGATACTGTAGGTTACAGCTGTAATGGGCGCATGAGGGCGCCCAGTCTCGGGTAGCAGATGGAGGAACGGGAGAGGTGCCAAGCCCTAATGACTACAAATCCACGCTTTTCCTTTTGTCCCCAAGGACTCGCCACATGGCCACTGCCATACGTTACCATATTCTTAGCCTCTGTCTGCTCACATTATCTAAATGTCTTGAGCACCTTCTGTCCTCAGGGCACAGGGGATGAGACTCTCTGGGTGGAAAGTTGGAGTCTTATGATTCATAACACAAACTGCAGAATCTAATAGGCCTGGGAGCAAATTGAGCCACTTACCAGACTCTAACACAGTCATTTAACCTTCACAAGCTTTAGTTGTGCAAGTTATTTTTAGTTTCTCCATCTGCATGTGCTGAACATGATTCCCACTGTTGGTGGACTTCTGAAAATAATAAAGTGCAAGGAAGATGGCGGGTCCTTCCTCCATGGCTGGTACCCCGGCTGAACAAGGAATAGTTTCCTTCTAACCCTCCAGAAATACACAGCCTGGTAAGGGGAAGGGTTTGCACTGTTCAAATGACTACGATTCTCAACAGACAAACATACAGAAAGAGAATGTCAGAGAACTGCAGTTTGATCAAAGGAGGAAGAAATTACATTTGGTTCTGGGACGGCTGAGAAAGGGCTCATAGGGAAATGGTAGTAAAAATGGATTTTTTGATGGTGGTGGTGGTGGTATTGATGATTGAACTCAATGGCACTTGTCTCATTTTGTATTTTATTTAGAGACAGGGTCTCACTAAATTGCTGAGGCTGGCTTTGAACCCCCAATTCTCTTGCCTCAGCCTCCTGAGCTGCTGGAATTACAGGCGTGCACCACTGTACCCAGCTAAGCATGGATTTCTATAAGTAGATTTTTGAGAGAAGCCTTTCTAGATATAGTATGTTTTTAGTTAATTTATTGTTTGTGTACTTATACTGGGGATTGAACCCAGGGTGCTTTACCACTGGGCCACATCCCCATCCCTTTTTATTTTTTATTTTGAGACAGGGTCTCATTTAGTTGCTTAGGGCCTTGCTAAGTTGCTGAAGCTGGCCCCAAACTTGCCAATCCTCCTACCTCAGCTTCACTAGTCCCTGAGACTGTAGGCTGGTTGTAGTTTAGACTGGTTTAGAACTGGATGAAAAGTTTCGTTTGGAACATAATGTGAACAGAAAAGCAGGCACGTGTTGAAACAAGCCATGGTCCCAAGGGACTTTTAAAACTGTGCAAAGTGAATGCTTTCAGATACCAGCTGCTCTATGGAAGACCAAAAACTGAGAAGGGGAGATGGCAAAGCATATGTGGGCAAGAGCAGTCCTCAGTCTAGGTTTAAAAGTATAAATGGGAATTGGATGGTCATTGTGCCTAATTAGCTCACTCGTTCATTTGTTTATTCTGCAAGTGCTTTTGAACAGACTGTTGGCCACAGTGCTAGGCTGTTGGGGATGGTCATTGCTAATGGGTACCTCATCTTAGCTGAGCTCCTTCTGAGCCAGCACACACTGATTCTCTGTTGCCTCTGGTCAGCCTGTACCTGCAAGTCCACCTTCTTCAACTAGGTAGGAAAGGCATAAACCCACCCTGATGCTCCAAGGGTTTGGAGACTGAGAGTAGAGCAGGCAGGAGTAGAAACCTTGAGTCTGTGTGTTTAGGATTTCGACTTCATTCCTCTCTGACTGATGACTGGGCATTTTACTTGAAACCCTGTGCCTCTAAGGTCTTATCTGTATTACAGGGATGACAGTAGTCCCTGGTCCTGGGATTTTTGTGAGGATTCATCACCCTTTCTTTTTTTCTTTCTCTTTTTCTGTCCCCCACCCCAGGGTACTAGGGATTGAACCCAGGGCCTCAGGCATGCTGGGAAAACACTCTGAGCTATATCCCCAGCTCTGTTGTGAAGATCTAGTAAGAGAGTGTGTGTCATGAAGAGTTTAGCCTGTGTGGGGTCTGGCTCACAGAGAGTACTGGATGTCAGCTTCCTGCTGCTGTTTTAGGGTTACACCCACCAGAGACATCACCACCACCACCAGGGCTGTTGATAGGCCTATATGTGAGAAAAGTCATATTTATTTTCATGTTTTTTTATATTATTAACAAACTACTCTCAGATATCAAATAAGTGACAAGCACTCATGTGGGTCACACAATAGGAATTCAGACCATCTTTTGCCCTTCGAGACATTGTGATACTGTGTTATGGTTTGGATGTGAGGTGTCCCCCAAAAGCTCATGTGGGAGACAATGCAAGAAGGTTCAGAGGAGGAATGACTGGATCGTGAGAGTTTTAACCCAATCAGTGAATTAATCCCAATAGGAATTAACTGAGTGGTAACTGAAGCTGGTAGGGTGTGGCTGGAGGAGGTGGGGAATTGGGGGTGTGGCTATGGAGTACATATTTTGTATATGCAAAATACATATTTTGTATAGGCAAGTGGAGATCTCTGTCTGCTCTCTGAATTGCCTCCCTCCGCCACACTCTCCTACCTCCAGCCCCAAGGAATGGAACCAGCTGTCTATGGACTGAGACCTCTGAAACCACAAGCCCCCAAATAAACTTTTCCTCCTCTGCCATTATTCTGGTTGGGTCTGTTAGTCATTAGTCACAGCAGCAAAAAAGCTGACTAAAAAAGGAGGGTTTCTCGCGATGGATGAGGTACAAATGAAGAGTTGAATCCATAAAATTCTGCCTGCCCAGACTTTACCTTGTCCTCATTTTTTGTGTGCATGGGATTTCTTAGATGCCATCTTAGTGCCCACTATGGATTCCTGTCATCCATGGCATCTGGAGGATTTCAGAGATATGGGCCTAATCCCTTAGAGAAGTCACCCCTGTAGTAAAGAGAAGAGAAAGCCTATTTAAGTTCTCATTGGGGCAGAGACCCCTCCCCATGGCAAGATGGTGAGGAGTAGACTTTAAATCAAACACGAAGTGGGCACTGAGACTGGGAGTTAGAGATTCCCAATTTGTTTTTTTGATTTTCTTAAGCTAGTTGCGTGATCCAGGCCCCAGTGAATCACATTTCTTCCCTCCAGGTTTTGTTTTTAAGTTGTCGAGCAGCAGATTGAAAAATGCATAAATCCCAAACCCATCCACAGTGGGGTAGTCTAAAGGAATCCACATTTTTAATTGACCCTGGTGGTTGAGGCAAGAGGGTCTGTGGCCCCTGGACTCTACCGTCTCTAAGACCCCTTGGAACTGTCACTTTTATAAGCCTCTGATATTTTGCAATCATGTGAGCAGCTGTTATGCCAATGTGGGAAACATATTTGCCATAAAATCATTTGACTCATATCTGATTTTACCTCCTATCTCTTCCTGAGCTTTTAAATATCCTGCATTTCTGTGTAAACATCCACACCCCAGCATTCTTTCTCTCAATGCAAACTCTGAAAAAGCCAACCTCCCTTTCTTTTTAGATCCCAGTGGTAAAAGAAGAAGAAAAAAAATGGCAACTCTGAAAACTATAGATTCAGAACAATGACTCCAAACAGAGAAGGAGATGACATGATATTAATCAGACTATAATTTTACTAACATGCTCTGCTCTTGAAATTTGCATTGCCAGCAATTGTGTCTTTTTTTTCTTTTTTCCTCCCTATACTATGATTACCTCTTGCTCACTTTCACAGTTTCCAGTTCTACATGGGTCTTGAGAGTGAGAACATTTAATAATACCCGACAGCTAATTAATCCTCACTGTGTAATGAACCTGTTCTGTTTCAGCTCTGAGAGGCTCAGCTTTTCAAAGCAAGAATGCAGCTAATTTTTTTTTTCATGGAAGATACCCTTTCAAATTCAATCACTTGTTACCCAAAGAGCCTATGAAAACAGCATCCCTGCTCAATATCATAGCATTCAAAGTAATAATCATGATGCTATTTAATAACACCTCATCATTGTAAAACACCCTTTACATAAAAATAAATGGTTCCTTACCTAATAATGCCTTGATTCTTCCTCAGGACAGACAGTGAGGACCACAGTAGCCGAGTTCCATTTAGCCCTGGATGCTTAAATCTGACCCAGGCTTAGAGAGGGCAAGTGACTTGCCCAGTGTCTTTCAATTGATTATTTCGAGACTAGAACTGAAAGGGAAGAGGTAGGCCTGGGCTCTTAAGCACATCCATTAGGGCATTCAAAATAGTTATCATAATAATTAGTGTCAGGGGCTGGGATTGTGGCTCAATGGTTGAGCGCTCGCCTAGCACGTGCAAGACCCTGGGTTCAATCCTTAGCATCACATAAAAATAAATAAATAAAGATATTGTGTCCAGTTACAACTAAAAAATAAATGTTAAAATTTTTTTAAAAAATAATAATTAGTGTCATTATTATTCCAGGTCAGAGGATCTCTGTGTTAGTCAGCTTTCCATGCTTGTCACCAAAAATACCTGACTATAACAGGAGAAAAAGTTTATTTTGAGCTCACAGTTTTAGATCTTCAGTCCATGGTCAGCCAACTCTCTACAGGTTTTGTTTTAAGACAAAAACTCTGGGCCTGAGGTGAGGCAGAGCATCATGGCAGCTTGGTGGAGGAAAGTGCTTACCTCCTGGTAGCCAGGAAGCAGATCAAAAGAAGGAAGAGACAAGGTGACAAGATATGATCTCCCTAGGTACACCTCCAGTGACCAGCTTCTCCCAGCCACACCCCACCTGCCTACATTACCACCCAGTTAGTCCATTCAAATTAGTAATCCATCAAATGGATTAATCCACTGTTGAGGTTTCAACTCTTATGATAAAATCATTTCACCTCCTGCATTAACACAAGAGCTGTGGGAGGGGGACACCTCCTACCCAAACCATAATAATTTCTCTCTCCCCCTGTCACTCACATACTTTGAGTTTCCAGACCCCTGACCTTAGCATGGAGGTCTATACACAGTTCCACTTGGGGAGATT